GAGGCAACGCACTGTGGGCTGCTGCCCGCCCTACCCGAGGTGGCGAAGGTTGTCTTTGAGGGGGAGGCGGATATGCTGAGAAAGTTGTCTGGTGCCCGGTCATTGGCGGAGGCGGCGGTTGCGGCTGTTGCATGGATAATGCTGGCGGTGGAGGTGCAGCAGATGGTGGCTGATGTGTCTGGATTGCATATGGCGCAGGAGCTTGGTTGATGGTTCGAGTTTCTCTTCGAAGTTCTGGCGAAAGGTCGTGCGATTGTTGTTGTTGCTGCTGCTGCTGCTGCTGCTGCTGCTGTTGTTGTTGTTGTTGTTGTTGTTGTTGTTGTTGTTGTTGTTGTTGATGTTGATGATGTTGCTGTTGCTGCTGCTGTTGCTGGATCTGCTGTTGTGCCCCAAGCATCTGCTGATGCCATTGTTGCAATGCCTCAAGACTAAAGTTTGCTAGGTTCGCTCCCCCAATGCCTGCAAATATCATAGGCACCATGTGGGGAGGTATCTGGCCATGTAAGGAGTCCTGGAGCATTGCATGTTCGATCCGTCGCTGCTCCAATTTCAAACCCGCCTGGCGCGTCTTCTCTTCTTCCTGTTTCCTCTTCTCCTCCTCTGCCTTGGTAGCGTACCAGCCACGTGTAGGGTCTTGATCGCCACTTCCTCCCCCACTCTGAAAGCGAGATTGTTCCGGAATTGATCCTAAGGGATGGTTAAGAGTTGGAGGTATTTGAGGGGGCGGTGGTGGAGGTCTTCCTGGATCCGGCAGGGTCATTCCAGCAGGTGGTGGCAAGCCTCGGTGATGTGTCGACATAGTCGGGGTTATACTGGCCGGCAGTGTACTTGTACGTACTGGATCGTTCATAATCTTCGGAGATAATCGTGAAGCAGTTGGTGGAGACTTGAAGTCATGTGTAAGTCGCGTGCCGAAATTCGTATGTGAAGGCTGAGAGAGTGTGAGCAGCATGTTGTGCCTATACTCGAATTGCTATGACAGTTCCCAGTTCCCAGTTCAAGTGTTTTTATTAATGTAGGCAGTAATATATACAAAGGAAACTGAGAGGGACAGTTGGAAAGTTAAAACAGATGGCAGAATAAAGCAAGACGTAAGATAAAAAGAAGTTCGGCGCAACATACACTTTTGTGAAAGGCTGGCGATCTGTACTGACAGTGAGGTCACCCCGGCGCCGGATTTGTCCAATGCTTGCAAGGCGCTGATCAGCACGCGCGAGTACGAATAACCCCGCCGATTCGCTCGCCTCCAGCTGCTGAATACCCGTTAGACAGCGCCGACCCTAAAGCCGTTGTCTGCGAATCTGCAAACTAGGGAAGGTCTGGCCGGATGGTCCGTCAAAAGTGGGTGTGTAAAGTGACTCTGTTCAAGGCAAAGCCGTGGATTGGCCCAAAGCGTCCAAATGCACCAAAGGGCGGTTGTTTCGAAGGGAAGAGGCTGGAACAGGCACTCCAGGGCTGCTCAGATGAACCCTCTCGGAATAATGCGACAGCTGACGAAGGTTCTTGTTGCTTGTTTCGTAATGGCAAGCAATGATGACTGGTCCTCTTCGGGTAGCGTAGCACACTCCCTTAATAACAAGCCGCAATAGACCAGAAGCTTGACGTCTGATTAACAATGAGCTCGGTTGGATAGGAAGTGACGATGCCGTTGATTGGTGAAACACAACCGTCAGTTGTCTAAGAAGTGGAGGAATCGATCAAGTAGCACGCCGTTCAGGACGAGAGTGGCTTGTACGGTTCATGACTACCAGAGCGCGAACGTTGCAACCGACGAGAAAGGTGCGCCATCGCTTCAACTCTCATGGCCATGATCATCTCAACCTGCATAAGCTACATACAGTGCAAACTTTTTGGCCATCTGCTTCGGAGCGGGCGGCGTCATGGAAAGAGGGCTCTGCTTGGGCGCATTACAGCTTGCACCGAAACGGGTTGACACGCGAAATGAGAGTACAGAGCGAACTGTGGGGAAGGCACAAACTCACGCAATCGTGGAAATAATGTTTCGCTCAAGCGCCGCAACGGTCGCACGCAGTGCTGATCTAGTTGCTCGATTCAAGTGCGGCTTTTCGGGATAGTCTGAATCGTGCCGATTTGCTTTGCGGTGCTTGCCTTAACGCGCACCGGTTTCGTCTTGGTAATTATTGCCATACAGTCCCCATCTCCGAAGGACGCCCGCGCGCATACTGTGGCTTGAATGTCTCAGATGACCCTCTCCATGGGGTTCACTCTATTCTGACCAAAAGGCTTTGACTGTCACCATCAGAGACACACGTCTTTGTGCGTCGACCGCGCGCCTGGTCGCGTCCTACGCCAGTACTGGAAATATAAGCTTTTGTCTTCCGAAGTACAATGTCCAAGCGACCGTTTCTGACCGATCGAAGCTGTGACAGACAGTCTCACGGTTCAAGTTGCCATGTGGGCTCACACCCGACTCCACAGACCGATCCACTTTTGGCTGGGTTTGGTAGTGGCTGGACTCTTGCAGGCTCTGATCCTTGAACAAGCAAACTGCCAACCAGCCTGACAAGCGACGCTTCGTAGTAGTGATCAGCAGTACACCTCACTGAGCTCGCGTGCCATCCCAGTGTATCAACGTGGTCGTCATGTGCGGCAGGGATTCTAGCATACGAATGTAGCGGTCTGTACCAAGGTATTTCGGTACTTTGTCCTTGATTGGACACTGTCTTTTGTAGAGCACAAGCATCCGGCAAGAGCATGCACAAATTTCCGCAATCCGTGAGCATAGCCGTCGATCAACTTGAAACACAACCGTCGACCCGGCTGGGCTCTTAAGCCTGCAGGCGCCATAATAAGGCTTTTTGGCCGAAAGTCAGTTATAGTAGTCATATCGTATGGACAAGTTGTGCTGACAGCCACCGGGAAGCTGTACGATTACGAACAGATGAAGCCACAATGAAAACTCCCGCCGTGCCGCTTCGACCGGTCCGAATATCACTGTGGTGATAGCTGTGGGGAAAGCCGCTCTTCATCGCTTACAGTATTTTATGAACCAGAACGCATTCAATTCTGGGTATAGCCGCGATGGATGTGAAGGAACATTTCCGCATATTGTCATCGGACTCTGCAGTCTCCACCCGGAGTCCGCTGGTATCAGATCGAGGCTTTCGTAGCGAAGATGAACCTTGGTTCTCATCAATATGCCTGGGTAAGCACATCGCGGCGAAGGTACCAGAACAAAAGGATCAACGTCTAAAATCATCTCACCACGGCCAAAACATCCCACTACGACCGTATCATTGTTGCTCATCCAAGATCAACCACGTGCAGCCACGAGCGGTGAACCCTGACGAATGCAGCCACCCTGAGCCCTGCCGTCCTGAATAAGCCTCTTACTCAAGGATCTGCATAATCCGTCATCGCAGTATACCTTCGTCCTATTTCATCCACATATGACCTATTTCTAACGAAAGCAGCAGGCAGAGAAGACTCACAGAACTCTCGTCACGGCATTCACACCTTCCGGACTTCGCTCCTATATTTTGGTTTGGAGCGATTAGCCTAGCTTCCGAGGTCCAGTGTAACATAACCAAGTCCTCTGTACCCACCATGGACAGGGAGGCAGAAAGTCATGAGGTGGTTGCATGAATCTTGCTAGCTCTGCTATCTCCAAAAAAGCAAACGACCTCGGTCCCCAACGCTGCAAACAGACGGATGTTCACCGCCATATTGCTGCAGCAGAGACTAACGCAAGCACCTGCCATTCCTCTCGGATTGTCAGCATTACCAGTCAGCGCCAGGACAAAACGTCAGCATTCTAGATACCTTAGGTACTTCGGCTGTACCAAGGCCACGGTGCTTGCTCTTTATCACTTTTCTGGGATGCATGTCCTCGGGAACTGACGGAAATCATGCGACGCCATGTAAGTGGTGCCTGGGGTGTGAACGGGGAAAAGTAGAGAGACTTGCTACAAGACTTGATGCCACTTCGTCGCCATTGCAGCTACTCACCGTACTCGACTGGGGAACTGAGACCAACATTTCAACGTTATATAGGCATTGTCGTTCTCTATTGGAATAACCCATGTTCTTGCAGCTCTGGATCAAGTCGATGTAACGGTGTCGATGACTATTGTTGCCTTGAGTAGAGGCCTGGAACAGCACGTGAGATGATCATCATCAGGATTCTGCTCTTACTGTACACACCCCAGGAACATCAACGGCACCAGCCGCGTCTCAGCTGAATAGTCTTCAGCCAAACACTCTACCCTCATGGAGAAATTCTCCGATAGCAATCATGCAGGCGGGTGAGACCTTTCAAGCAGCTCGAGACGGCACGATGAAACTCGGCGTGTGTCTTCAGCCACACGACTGTTATCTCTGATTCTGGACCTCGCAATCCGATCTAACAATCCCTCCGTTGAGATTGGTAAATCATGGAGGAATAGCCCGCGGACCACAAGGCTCATTGGGCTCGCTTAGCACTCAGCATACAATTACGTGGCAGGGCAATGTTTAATCCTAGCTGTCAAGGCTGAAGGAGATACACTTCATACACAAGAATGCACGCCGACTGACTTGCGTATCACTGAGCAAATCCTACGGCCTTGGCATATCATACTAGACCCGCAATATAATTTAAACCTTGATGCATCATCTCGCGCGACACTTAAGCGATGTTCCAGATATCGATGGATGGTTTCCAATGTCGCCACTTGCCAGCCTGTTGGCTCGCCAATATGACTAATATGAAAAGAGGATGCTTGGCTTGATGAGGAAATCTGCAAGTCTTCTCAACAGGCAGATCTTTGCACATGGGTATATCTTGGCGGCAAGGGCTGGTCCGTCGACAATTGATGCAACTAGAGACAAGGCAGAGAGTCGCGAGGGAAATGATTTGCTGTGGGGCGGCACGTGGCGCCTCGTGTTGCGTCTATCATCGCACGTTCATCTTCCATGCTGATCTCCTCGACTTCAAATTTTATCGTTATATTCTGACAAAGATTTGCCACTATCATGGCTGTAATGGTGTTAACTACCCTGGGACTTTGGTCTAGTGGTATGATTCTTGCTTTGGGATTTCATGTTCATGATTGCAAGAGGTCCTTGGTTCGATTCCGAGAAGTCCCCTCTTTTTGACCCTTTTCTCGAATCATCTCTATATTCATCACTTTCTAGAGAGTAGCCCGCGCCTCTTGATAGTATGCTATTATGTCAACTTAAGGGTGGAGATGTCTATTGTACTTTTTGAGGGGCTGTCTTGTTTTTGTATAGTCCGGCATGTCAGTATCTCACTACTTGACTGCTTTTTAAATAATGGGCTTGCCTACCGCTACTACATTATCATAGCAGCTCGAGGATGGAGATACTTACTAAGAACTGAGGGGCTGTACGTATTGTTCCTATCTAAGTATTACCGTAGACGGGTCTTGGAAGTATCTTCTTATCTCACACGAAATATAAAGGTAGTGCGTTTCATCACTCACTCTCTATCATTATGCCAGGCCGACAATACTGCACTCACGCATACTGTCTTGTTACGCGCCTTTTCATGCCGTAGCGATGCGAGTCGCCTGTCTTTTCTGCTCGTCCTGTCCGCCTGATCTCAGAATGTCTTTTTCCAGTCTCATCCATCCCACAGCGACCCAACATCCTCCGCCGAGCAAGACAAGCAGATCCGACTGCCCCTACGAGTCAGCCAAACTAATTTATATCAACTACTCTCTCCCCCCTGGAGCCTATATCATCAAGCTCCTGCAATCTTTCTCGTATGAGGCTGAATCAAAGGACAAGGAGAGGGAGGGTCACTTGGCATTTTGAATTGCATGCTTTCAATCATAGGCGACTAGTCGTGCTTTGATCGGAATGACTGACATTTCATCTCATCTCATATCCCTCTGCCCAGTTTGCTAAAGTATAATATACTCGGTAGTGAAAAATATCGGAAGCAGATATTGTACATTGGTGGTGGGGGCAGGGGCAGTGGAGGGGTAAGTAGGAAATACGTGTAGGTTCAAATTGACTCACATCAAGGCTTAATTATTGATTAAAGAGCACTAAAATGACGAATCTCAAGGCTTCTAGTGGACATACAATAAGTACAACAAAAAGTGACGAAACGGGATGCTGATTTCGTTTCGTTTTCCTGAAACACAAGGGGCAGTTGGCTGCATAGGCTGCATGGCATGGGCCTTTCCATCTTATGTATTCGATTTTTGCCTTTCTCTTGCCTTTTCTGTATCTAATAAATTCTTTGTCAAACTTCCGTGGTTTCGATACTAGTACCTATACCGCGTTTCCTTCGACGCGAGCTGCCCTCCGTACATATGAGTTCCGATATGCATACACACGGATCCAATCAGCACCCTATGCTTTCGGACAAACTCGCCTCGTTTAGTTCCAGGACGTCTTTTCATTCTCTATATGTATCACGAGGTGAGCGGCTGAGAAACACCAGATTCCTCGCCGTAGTACCTGACTTTCTCTTCACAACTAATTGAACACTATAGTAGCTGTAGACTACTGCGGGTCAGTGAGTTTTTCATTCGTATCGGAGATGCTTGGCGACCCTGGCTATAATCACTACTGAATGTCATTACGAATCGTCTAAGAAGGCTGGATTTGACAATCGGGATCGGGAGTATCATCGGGCGAGGAGGTTTAGTGTTAGGTCGAGTTTGGAGTCGTTTTGTGGATATGACGGATTATACGTGAGGAAACGAATAGCTCGAGGCGTAGCGGGGATGTTGGGTGCGAGACGTGGGAGTTATTTTGGAAGGTGGAATGGTGCTGGGATTTGCACTCGCCTCCCTGGTTGGTTGGGGTGCAGGTTAGTATATACGAATTATCGATATACCTTACTTGATAGCTGTGGTTGGAGGTATATCGTGAGACCGGTCGCCCTCCTCGATTTCGAGATGCAATTCGAGGGTGTTTTGTGGTCTATATGGGATAGACGACTGTTTGCGATATTTCTGGTTAGGTTGGATATGCTGCATTAGATGTAGTGTCAGAGAAGTCGCGATCTCATTCTTCACAACACGATCGAAAGAGAGGCAAGATAACGTGAGAAGCTTCTATTGCAGGCAGGGGGGTATCATGAATCGATGCATAAACACAATAAAAACAAGTCGCTATGCAGTCGGCAGAGGACCGAGCTCCTTCGGGGGAGAAGGCCAGGAATATTTCCCACAATGACCAAAGTATCTGCACGCGCAGGTATTCGGAGCAGGACAACTGAAGCCATTAGCATTTCCTCAACGGCAATCGCGACGAAACAACTTACTGTACAGCCTCGCCCGTCATCAAGAACGCCCACAGCTTCTCGAGCACTCTTCCGCTGACCTCATCGTCGAGATCAGTCTGCAAAAGCCAGCTTCTCAGACGAATATAGTCGTCCTTTGATCTGGTCATCATAGCTGCGCGGGTGACGGCAAACTGAGCACAACACGGTGATGCGAGCGTATGCGGGAGATCAGTGTCGGGGAAGAGAGTCGGCCAGGCCGAGGCGATCGCGTCTTCGGTCTCTCTCACATGAGCACCGCCGCCCCAAACCACGGCGTCGTGATCGATTGGGCGGAGCTCGGCGGGACAACTGGGCACCCAACTGCAGCGAAAGGAAATATAGCCTACTTCGTCGAGAGCGTCGATGCGCAGATTGCTTATCATGTCCAGCATGTCTAGTTTTTGATGCCAGGCTTTGCGGTGTCCGTGGATGAAGATGGCGTAGTCGGGGAGATTATCGTAGTGGTCGATGAGGTAAGTGAGATAGGTCATTGCTTCGCGGCCTTTGTTGGCTGGTAGAGCGAGGGCTGGGTCTGGCTTGTTGGCCATGACAAGGTATGGATAGACGTCGAATCTGTGAGGTTGTTAGAACTCCATGCTTCGAGGAAGACAGCTACATGTCAGTCGTACTTCTCGGCCAGCTGATCCATCCATTCGCCGTCTTCGGGCTTCATGAGCGCCGCAATAACAGCAGGAAGAGCAGGATACGCAACCGATGACGCTGAAGTGGAAGCCTCATCAGGGGTGTATATCGAAGTCTCATCACCCCCATCATCTCCAGACCTCGTCGTATCAGGCGATGCTTGAGATTCATCCTCGATCATCAAAAAACCTTCAGGCATAGCCAACGCATCTTCCTCATTAGAAGACAAGAAATCCCCATCCAAAACCACCTCATCCGATCCCACATCCTCAGCCAACCCAAGCCCGACCTCCTGAAACGTACCCAGCTTATCCCCCCTCCAAGCCTCCAACAACACAAAAAAAAGCGACAGACAAACAAACGTCAGAATACCAGCCTTGACACCCCTCCCAGCACCGGCGCATTTCCGCACCAAAAGCTCCATCGGAAAGAAAAAACCAATCCAGTCTCGATGCGTACAGTATACCTTATCTCTCACAGCACCATGTGAAGGGAAAAGCAAGAAACTGACGATTTGCGAGAAAAGGAAAATAATTTGCATGCCGTACACCTACAATCGAGGGTATATGACACCTTTTTGCTAGGCCAGGGACCCGCGCGAGTCGTAATGGATGGGGCTTATACCAATCGTGCATGTCTCCGACGCTGTGCGCAGTCATCGTGTTACGGACGCCCTCAGGAGTGGTACGAAGACTCTCCAGATTTAGGCCACGCAGGTCATCGTTTTCTGCGGCCACGCGTCGGGCCTTGCGCTAAATGTGCCAAGATTGGTATACGCAATTGTTTCAGACAGGTGTCTAGGGCTTTGGCGTTCGTCCAACCGTAGTGACCGAATTGACCGAATTGAAAAGTGGAGAAGCAGATCGGATTCCATGCGTGATCAGATGCGCATGAGGACGTATAAGGTGATAAGATATTCATGATCGACAAGGAATACGTATAAGCCAAGATGGCGAAAAGATTTGATTCGTACTTGTAGTTCATGAACAACTGTGCAATGCCGGCTATGCTTCTCGAAACTCTGTCAACTATATAGTCCGAATGCACCAAACTCCCAGCTCATGCCATGTCCTGTCTTCCAATAAGCTATGCGGATATAGACGCGCCCCAGCCCTCGCTGTAAAAATGCAAACAAGCAGTTAAAGCAAGGTCATAAAATATATACATAAGTTAGTACTCTTGAAAGAGTGCTATACAAAAGGCTCTTGGCTGTCTTTACTGCCTATTCGGTTGTACCCTTGCCGCTTGTTCTGTTGCCAATTGGTGTATTGTCGATAGCATCCATAGACTGTTAATGAAAAGGCTATGGCGCAGAGGGAGAACATGGCGATTTTGAGTGGCATGCCTGGTGTGGTCATGACGAAGAACTCTTCGCTTGTGGTGACGGCGCTGGAAGTGTTGAATTTCGCTCCGACACTAGACCAGTCCTGTTTTGCATGTCAGCATTTGCTTTCTCACAGCCTTTTGATCTGATAGGGAATAGCTTACTGGTCTCTCCCCAAGATCAACGCTGTTGCTGACACCAAGAATATTTCCAAGCTTGTCAACAGCCGCGACACGAAGATATCTTCTGACACCTTCGTCAACGTCAAACTGAAGCCTCGTCTCAAAGTCTTGCCTCGGTTCTTGAGTTATGTCTGACCACTGGAAGCCGGACCTAGGTTCGCTCGTGTGTTGGAGTTTCCAAGTATCTACCTCGGTGGCACCATTCCAACTGACGTAGACTGCACCTTCATCGTCGTCGAGCACCGCCTTTGGATCCTCGGCAGGCTGACCGACCCAAGCATATTTGAAACTTCGGTAGGATTGCACGAGTGCATGCTCCACGGTAGTTTTGGGTCCAAATTGCGTATCGCACATTACCCGCCCATCAGCAGTAAACTCGGTAAAGACGGGCTTTTGACCAAAACCGAGTCCTATTGTTGGATCTCTTCCAGGTGTGATTGGAGGAATCACCTGGAAGCTGCCTTGGCTGTCTGCACTGATTTTGTCTGGATGGGTATACACATGCACAAGACTGACAGTGTGGCCTTCCTTGACCTCGCCGGTCAAGGGACGAGTCAAGGGTTGCGGAGGCCTTACGGGTGGAGATCGAGGAGAAACATCCTGGTGCGAGGGGTAGGTGATTTGCAATATCAAGCCACGGGAAACCTCCCTAACGCGGATGCGGTCGTCAGCGCCATTATCAAACATGGCTACCAGC